TTGAGACGTTTTTCGGGATATACTCCGCATATAAGACGACCCACTCCCCCTCGATTTTCGGTTGACTTTTTTTTCCGTTTCAAAAGTCGTCTTATACGCCGGAAAATGCGGTAAGTTAAAAAAGTTGAAAATATATAAAATAATTAACTGGGCATCCTATATTTTTATCTGCTAAATTTGATAACCCTACACATGTGCATATCTAAATTTAGATTAAAATTTAATAAAAGTTTAAAATTTAGTTTCTCAGTCTCACGAGCTGCATTTCAAGAGCTTAATAGTCACACATGTGGCTAATGGTTACCATCTTGAACAGCAGAGATTGGAACATTTACATCATTGCAGAAAGCTATATTGAACACCACTTTTGCCAAGCAAAAAACAGAAGAAAAATTTTGTGCATTTTACAGGTTGTAAAAAATTACATTTGAAATTGCCAGCAAACCCTAGGAGAGTCCTTTTAACAGAGCCAAGAAGCCACAGTCTTTATGTTCCAGTCTGTTACTATGACTGCATATGCAGCATATTTGATTAAAAGGGAGGTGAGTCTATATAAGAAAAGCAGTTCTCATACATCTACATGGTAGATTCCCTTGTTCTGCTATTCTCCTGGGACTACCAGGAAACAAGTTATCAGATCAGAACAAACCAAAATTTAAAAGATCCTAAGTAGAAAGTAAATGTGTTGTTATTTGACTTATTAATATCAATATTCATAGATTTTCTTAAATTAATAATCAGAGAACATCACCAACTAGAATATCTGTTTATAAGCCAAGTCTGTGATGAACTTGGTAAACACAGAATTATTTCCTTCTTTTTTTAAATATATTTTATTGATTTTTAACAGAGAGGAAGGGAGAGAGGTAGAGAGCTAGAAACGTCGATGAGAGAGAAACATTGGCCAGCTGCCTCTTGCACACCCCCTACCAGGGATGTGCCCGCAACCAATGTACATGCCCTTGACCGGAATTGAACCTGGGACCTTTCAGTTCGCAGACCGACGCTCTACCACTGAGTCAAACCGGCTTCGGCTATTTCCTTTCTTAATTAGCCTTTTGGGAGAAACCTGTAGCCCTGGGAGTCTTATGAGAAGTAGGAGAAGATTAAAGTCTAGCAGAGGTATGTGCTAAAAGCTGATTTTTACATATGACTTAGTGAATCTAAAAAATAAACTGGCTAACATACCAAATGTGACCAACTAAAAAGTGAAAAGACTGTGTAACCATCAAAGGCAGGAAGTATAAAGGTCTTGACACAAATAACTCCTCTATCAGCCTGGTCATAGGCAGCCATCTTGTGAGGGTGTGAGGGTTAATTTGCATATTACCTCTTTATTATATAGGATACTATCAAGCTACAGTAATTGAGATAGGTTGATATTGGCATGCAAATATACATATAGATCAATAGAATAGAATTGAGAGTCCAGACATAATTAACCCTTATATTTATGATCAGTTGATTTTCTTTTTTTAATATTCTTTTTTATTTATTATTTTATTATTATTATTTTTAATCCTCACCCCAGAATATTTTTCCCATTTATTTTTAGAGAGAGTAGAAGATAGAAATAAAGACAGAGAGAAATATTGATGTGAGAGTAACAGATCGATTGGTTGCCTCCTGCACGTGTCCCAGGAGGAGACTGCAGCTGAGGTGCCTGCCATTGACCGGAATGGAACCTGGGACTCTTGTTCCTCAGGCCAATTCTCTTCCACTGAGCCAAACCAGGAGGACTATGATTAGTTGATTTTCAATAAGGATGCCAAGTCCACTTAATGGAAAGAATAGTCTTTTCAACAAATGATGCTGGAACAACTGGAAAGCCACTGGCAAAAGAATTAAATTGAATACCGACTTTACAACATTTATGAAAATTAACTCAAAATACATCATAGACGCAAATGTAAGAGTTAAACTTGTAACACAGAAGAAAGCAAAAGTGAATCTTTGTGACCTTTAGTTAGGCAATGATTTCTTAGACGACACCAAAAGCACAAACAACAGTAAACAACAGATACATTGGACTTCACTGTTGGTAGAAATGTAAAGTGATGTAGCTGCTTTGGAAAACAGACTGGGACTTCACTTACCATGCAATTCTAGCAATTTCAGCTGGAATTAGGCTATTTAATATTTGATGAATGGTGATAAGAGGATAAAGAAGCTTAGGTGAATTCCATTCTAAGGTACATATCCAAGAGAAATAAAACAATTCCACACAAAAAATTGAGCATGAATGTTCATAGAAGCATTATTCATAGTAGCCAAAAAGTAGACCCAACTAATGAATGGATAAATGAAATATGGTATGTCCACACAATGGAATATTTTTTAAGCATAAAAAAGATTGGGGCACTATCATACTATCTATCAATGGGTAAATTTGTGATAATTTGCCATTAATCCCATTCAGTACAGTCATCATCTCAGGCATAGTTTTCATTTCTTTCTGTTTTTAATTTTTATTTAATGATTGACTTTAGAGAGAGAGGAAAGGAGGGAGAGAGAGACACACATCCATTTGTTGTTCCACCTATTTATGCATTCATAGGTTGAGTCTTGCATGTGCCCTGACTAAGAATTAAACCCACAATCTTGGTGTATTGGAACAATGCTCTAACTAACTGAGCTACCTGGCCAGGGCTAGTTTTCACTTCTAAAAGTTCAATTTGGGTCTTTCAAATTGAACTTTTAGAAGTCCTAATATACTGGTATTTAAATTAATCTTAAAACAAATAATTTGGTTTCCTTAGGCCACAGTTTCTTTACCTATTTTTAAAAGGAAAGGGGATGCATTGAAGAATAAGACTAGATTATCTCTAAAGGCTCTTTAACTTCTTTCTAAGGGCTTGTTTATGATTCTGTTTAAGTTGTGTGATTTTTTTTTTTTGGAAGGTTCTTTTTTGCATGTTTTATTAAATGTAATTTAAAAAACACAAAGTAGGTAAAAATACTTTAAAAATTTGATTGAGCCTTAGCTGGTTTGGCTCAGTGGATAGAGTGTCAGCTTGTGGACTGAAGGGTCCCAGGTGCCACAACCTTCATGGTGGGGGTTCAGGATCTAAAGGAGGGGCTGATGGACAAATGAAAATGCTATACAAGAAATATGAATTTAGCCGAAACCAGTTTGGCTCAGTGAATAGAGCGTCGGCCTGAGGACTCAAAGGTCCCAGGTTCGATTCCGGTCAAGGGCATGTACCTTGGTTGAGGGCACATCCCCAGTAGGGGGTGTGCAAGAGGCAGCTGATTGATGGTTCTCTTTCATCCATGTTTCTAATTTTCTATCCCTCTCTCTTTTTCTCTGTAAAAAAAATCAATAAAATATATATATTTTAAAAGAAATATGAATTTAGAAGGCATTGGGATCCAGGTGGAGTCTTCTTTCTTACTTGAACACACATTTTGCCTTTAGCAATGCATACAGGCAGATCAAAGGTAAAGTTTGGTAAACAGTATAAGGATTATCAGGTTAAGAAATTACCTTGAGCCATTGAGCCTACAGTAGGGCTATATTATGCTGATTTTCAGCCTGCTGAATATCAAAATCCATTGGCCTTCCAATGATTCTTTTTGCATTTTTAGTCTAACTGCACGAGGTTCTATTCCAGTTAAGGGCACATGCCTGGGTTATGGGTTCATCCCAGGTAGGAGGTGTGCAGGGGGTAGCCGATCAATGATTCTCTCATCATTGATGTTTCTATCTCTCCCCTCCCCCTTCTCCATTCTTCTCTGAAATCAATAAAAATATATATTTTTAAAAAGTTGATTAAGAATTGAGTGACCATGGTGCACCACTCTGTGTACTATGGCACCATGCCTTTAAGTGTCACCTCCAGACCTGCTCGCTGAACTGGCCATGTCCACTCAAGGACATTTTGAGTAAGCAACCTTGCAGAATTTGGTAAAAAGCAGCTAAGGTGGTGCAAACTGTCAGGAATCTGGGCACACGGCTGAACAGCATAGTGTGGCAACCTAGCTGTTAATTGGAGGTGTCACTGATGGTGCACAGGTTTCATATTCCAGATGGTTGGATAGTTAGCTGCAACAGCTGTCGGAGGAGGAAGTTTTCTTCAACTTACAAACCATAATGGTTACATCTAAGCTGACAGGCAATGAGTAGAGAACAACATGAAGAAAGCCAAGGAACAGCTGAAGATGAATGAGAACAACCACGTATCTATGGAGGTGAAAAGCAATGCTGAGGAGATGGTGTCATTTGTGAGGAAGAATGTTCTAGTGACCGGTGGAATTTTCAGAGGCTTTCTGCTTGTCATAGCATCCTAAGGAGGATGACTTTGCTTCCACAATTCCTGTTTTTTCCATCTACAAGCCTCTTCACTCCATCATAGGACTTCGAGTCTCCTCTTCCTCCTTCTTCTCTTCAGTGTCTTTCTCCCTATTGTGGAATATCTGAATGGCTTCTATAAGCCTCTGTTGGTACAAACTGATACAGTCCTACTGTGAGCCTCACCAGAAGAATGGAAGAGACAAATTCATGCTCTCCTCTCAGAAAACTTCCTACCTGACTAATCTGTAAGCCAGCGAGAATGTTCCTTTCCCCTTACATGAGATACTACCAATAGAACATAGTGCAAGATGGTTCACTCTGGAGGATGAGTTGATGTTCAAAGGTTGTCCTAAACTTGATTTGTAAAAGGAATAACAATCACATAGATCCCTTATTATGTGCTGCATAGAAATAAACTGGATACATTTGCCTTTAAGCATGACAGATTTTGGTGTCCACCATTTTTTCTTTTCTTTTTCTTTTTTTTTAAATTTATTGTTGAAAGTATTATATATGTCCCTCTTATCCCCCCATTGACCCTTCTAAGCTCACCCCTGTCCCCTACCCCAGGCCTTAACCCCCTATTGTTTATCATGGTTTATGCACATATGCATACTCTACTTATTTCTTAGTTGGCTTTATATTACAAAAAGATATATTTAATTATAATTATGCTATAATTATCCTAACAAAATGGCAGCATAAACACTATAATGGAAAAATTATGAAGATAGCATGAATTTGTGCTAAATGTATATATGCTGAATTGAAGATATTGTGTTTAGTGGGAAAATCTTTAGAGAAATCACTGAATGAATACATAATTGGATAACCAGACTTAATGAATCATTTAGGGGCATTAAGATGGTATCCGGGAGTGGGAAGTTTCCTCTATATAGGATAACGCATATCTCATGGCTATTCCCAAAGGGTTTATATATGGTAAAATAAGTGACTTTAGGTGGGATAAGGAGAAAGCTCTTGGATTTTTATTTCTTACAACTGTTTTTAAGCTTTGAAATGTGAAGTATTCTTGACTTATTTTCAAAGCATTAGAGACAGTGATAGCTCCCCTGTGCTGATTCTACTGAGTATAAATTATGTAATATTTGAACCAGAGTTTTAAATAGGTAGCATTCCAGATATTCAGAATTGAGAATGGTAGCAATAGCACCTGTGAAATAAATTATTTCCATCATGAAATGTAAAAAATAAATTGTTGATTAATTTTTGAGAGAGAGAAAAGAGAAACATTGATTTTTTTGTCCCACTTATCCATGCACCTACTGGTTCACTCCTGTATGGGACCTGACCAGGGATTGAATCTATTATATGACTAACATTGAAAAGGATCAGAGAATGAAAGAATCTTAGACTAATTAGACTAATTTGTCTGCAAACTCATTAGTCAACAGAGCTAAAATATCAACAGTACAATGATTGAAATTTCTTTTGCGAGCCAAAAACCGACTTCCGCGCATGGGCCAAGAAGTTTCAGTCACACTGTACACGCGCACCTGCACGTGGTATTTTGTGGAAGAGCCACACTCAAGGGACCAAAGAGCCGCATGTGCTCATGAGCCGCAGTTTGCCAACCACTGTCTCAGAGTATGAAGAGTCCTTAGTGGTCATCCAGACAAACCTACTGTCCTGTATAAAAATTCTTCTCAAAAGCACTGACTAAAGATCAGTTATCAGCTTCTGTTTGAACATTTCCTGCAATAAGGAGTTCACTGGCTTACAACAGTTGATTCCAATTTAGGGCGACTTTAATAATTAACAAATTTTTGCTTAAATTAAGATGAAATCTGTCTCATTGTAACTTCAATCTTTCTGATCTTTGGACCCACACAGAATAAATATAATCCATTTTATACACCTAAGTCCTTTACTTAAAAATATTTTTATTGATTTTAGAGAGGAAGGGAGAGGGAGAGATAGCAACATCAATGATTAGAGAGAATCATTGATCGGCTGCCTTCTGCATGCCCCCCATTGGGGATGGAGTCTGCAAACGGGGCATGTACCATGACCAGGAATCGAACCATGGCCTCCTGGTTCATAGGTCATCACTCAACCACTGAGCAGCACTGATTGGGCATCACACATAAATCCTTTAGATGTTTGAAGAATGTTATGTCACCTAACACAAATTTCCTTTCCCAGGTATCTTCAATTGTTGTTGTTGTTGTTGTTATTGTTTTAAATATATTTTATTGATTTTTTACAGAGAGGAAGGGAGAGGATAGAGAGCCAAAAACATCAATGAGAGAGAAACATCGATCAGCTGCCTCCTACACTCCCCCCCACTGGGGTGTGCCTGCAACCAAGGCACATGCCCTTGATCGGAATTGACCTTGGGACCCTTCAGGCCCCCAGCCAATGCTCCATCCACTGAGCCAAATGGGTTAGGGCTCTTCAACTTAGGGCATGATTTCCAAGCCATTTGCCATCCTGGGCTCTATTAACGGGCACTTGTTTTGTTTTTGTTTTTTAAAATACATTTCTTCTTTTAAAAGATTGCTCAGAACTGAACACACAGTAGAATGGATTAGTGGTTTGTAAGCTGTTTTTCTTTGGCAGGAGAGGAGTCAGAGACACCTTTGGGAATCCAATGAAAACTATGCACCTTTTCCTCTAAAAGAATATAGACACAAAATTCTTCATTTGTAAAGGCCATGCAGGGTGTTTGAGAATTGACTAAAGCCTATTCATAGGCCCTAGTTATTAAACATTATTTATGGTCTATTGCTTTTAAAATATATATACATTTCTCTTATTGATTTCAGAGAGGAAGAGGGGAGAGAGAGGGGGAAAAAACACACACATCAATAATGAGAGAGAATCTCTATATAATGAGAGAGGCAATTTCCAGTAACAGGCAAACTATCTTATCAGTAAAGCTTTACATGAGACTAAAAGGTGGAAGTTGCTTCAGTTACTACTGTCTCCAATAAACAGTGGGTGCATAGCTCTGACCTTGCCAGAGCCGCAAGGCTGACCAGCCTTCTGGGCTCCTTGTCCACACCTCTCTGCTAGTGAAGGCAAGAGGCAATTTCCAACACCCTTGGCTGCAATCAAACCTGGGACCCTTCAGTCTGTAGGCGAAAGCTCCATTCACAGAGCCAAACTGGCTAGGGCTGGTCTATCACCTTTCTTATTTGAATATTTGGTAAAATCTAAGGTTTGTTTTACACCGGGTTTGTTCATTTGAGTATTTAGCTTGATAATTTTGGCAAATGGTGTCCTTTTTACCTTTTTTCCTTTCCTTCCTTCCTTCCTTCCTTCCTTCACTTCCTTCCTTCCTTCACTTCCTTCCTTCCTTCCTTCCTTCCTTCCTTCCTTCCTTCCTTCCTTCCTTCCTTCCTTCCTTTCTTTTCTTTCTTTCTCTCTCTCTTTCTTTCTTTCTTTCTTTCTTTCTTTCTTTCTTTCTTTCTTTCAGGAGTGGACTAATTATTTAAATATAAGTTTGGAACTTTTATATTTATCTCTGTAAAATTATATTTTTATTATTTTGGCTTATTATCTAAGCCTGTTAAGATATTTTAAAACTTTGGTTGGATGCTCATGGTATTAATCAGCAATCCCTCTAAGCATCATGTCATCTGAATTTTAATTTTTTTTATGTTTGTTGTAGGCATTGATTAAATTGTGGAATAACAAGTCAAAGACAGAATTATGTAGCATGTGCTTGAAGACCTCCATCCAATATGACAGTGATATTCTTTTAATATCTTTTAGTTCACATTTCTCTACCTGGTCCATAAAAATAAATAAGGGACTTTATAGTAAGCCTTGGTAAAAATAAGAAGACACTATGTCTTAATGGTACTTCCTTGATTTACCACAAGGTTAGTACTCCTATCAGAAAATGCAATGAGGATTATTACAGTGAGTTAATTTTAGGGCTGATACATATTTATCATTTTATGCAACAGTTGCATTCCTAAGAAGATTCATGCAAATAATATCATATTAATAATAATGAGTTGTTATGTAGATAGAACTTACTAACAGTCAAGGACTGTTATAAATTTTTTATATCCACTTACTTATTTAACCTGACAACCCTATAAAATAGGAAAAGGATGAGGGAGGTTAAGGTACTTGCACAAGCTAAGTAGCTATTAAGTGACAGTCAAGGTTTGAGCTCAGTTTGTCTAGAGAATTCATGTATTTATTCAGTCTTGTATTTTAAAAATCCCAGATTCCGTGTAAGGAAAACTCGGGTCATTTTCTTCAAATTTAGTTTCCTCTCTAAGGATTTCTACTCTGGTTCCACATTACATATCAGTCCAACAGAATAAATAGAGCACCCTTAGTACTTGCTATTTCCCCAGAAAAGTATGTTTTGAGATAGGCAAATTTCTTTCTAAGCAGTAAATATGAGAGAGGGGAGAGGATCCTAGGATTCACTAAGATCCAATGCCTAATTTGGACATTAGATAACCTGTCAAATTTAGTCACTGACTGGGCCAAACTCCTCTCCTTTCTGTGTCGCAGTTTCCCCATCTGCTTTATCCCATTTTCCTCCCTTCCTTAGAGGGATTGTGAGAAAATGAAAATAAGAGTATGATTATGTGAATAGCTTCAAGTTTGAAAGATAACTAGGAAAATATAAAATGCTATTAGAATTGATCTGCCCTGACAAATTAACACACTTTAAGAATTAAAACTAATTTGATTATACCATTGCACATCATCTTTTAAAAACATAGACATGTAAACCCAGCTAGAAAAACTATTTAATCCTAAATTAAATGTGAGGATTAGGATTCTTGGCCTCATTTAAAATAAAGGTCATATAAATTGCCAGCTGAAAGTTCAGGGACTATTGTTAATGAGGGATTTTAACTGTAGAATAAATTCTTGTCAAGATTAGGCAGGTCATAGTTTACTTGATACAATATTGACTGTCCCTGGTGCCTTCATTTTTATCTGGGGAATAACATAAACATAAACATTGTGTCCCAAAAAATATATACACACTTTGAATAATTATAAAGTCAGTGTTTATTAATTTGCAGTTCATTTTCAAAATTTAAAATAATCTACAGAAATAAAAATTTTTTTGGTCAATGCCTGTTTTCAAACTGATGACCATTCTGGTCAGGCACTGCTAATAATGCAAAGCATTGGAATCATAAACATCAAGAATAATTTTGGGGAGAATCCAAGATGGCTGCTCGGGTAGGCACCTAGCCGCAGCCGCACGCAACAATTTCAATAAAATACAACTAAAATATAAAATGGATATTGCCCAGAACTACAGGAAAGTCGACTGACAGGAAATTCTACAACGAGAAGCAAGGAGAAAACCAGAAGGAAGCACGGAGGAGCTGTAAAAGCCCAAGGTACGGAGACACGTGGCGCGCGCGGAGAGGACGGAGCCGGAGAGGAGGGAGGCCGAGTGCCTGGCTGGCGTTCCCTAGCAGGAAGGAGATAAACACTCCGACTGTGCTGGGCCCCCAACTGCTCTGAACCCCCGTTCTAGGCCAGACCCCGGGGACCCAGGCTCATCCAGAGGGAGCTGGGCTCTAAGGCGGAACCCGGGGAAGCGGCGAAAGGAGGTCCAAGAGGCGTGCACACTGCGCGCAGAGAAGGGACGGTCGGCTGTGCCGTAGGACTGCCCTGGCGGGAAGGAGACAGGGGCTCCAGACTGCTCTGAACGCCATCTCCAACTCCAGTTCCAACTGAACTGAACCCCAGGCCCATTGCGGGAGAGCCTACACTGTTTGGTAGCAGGCGAAAATTGAGGGCACCTTTCTCTCAGAGGTGCTTGCAACAAGTACTGAAGGACCCTGAGTCTCAGGAGTCGCATAGGGCGGGGCTGATGGAAGCCAAGGCTGTAGGCTCCACCCTGAAACTCCGCCCCATCAGAAAAGCTGCCTGCGAAAATGCCTAAACCAAATAGATCACAAACGAAAGAAATGGAGGACAAAAAGCGACTGGATATAGAGTTCAAAACCACACTTATAAGGTTTTTCAAGAGTTTCCTAGAAAAGGCCGATAAAATAAATGAGACCTATGAGGATATGAAAAGGGATCAACTAGAAATAAAGAATACATTGTCTG